ATTTGAATATGCTACAGTCACTGCCTTCAAGGAACATATGTTCTGTTTAAAGAGAAAAATCAACAGGCACAGCCCAGTACGATAACTACTGAGGTGAAGCCATATTTTAAATGATAAAATATCTAAGAAAAGAGTCAGCTACATTAGACAAGTGTATGGAATCTATTAAGGGAATGCCCCAGGAAGCATATGATTGCATGAGTTGAGTCTTGAAGAATCACTTAAGAGCCTGATGGGTGAAGAATGTGTTAGATTATATTTCAGGCTAATGGGAATACATCAGATAATGTATGAGGCAAAGGATAGTGTGGTGAATGATCTGTGATTTTAATTTTGTGTTCACTTGATTGGTTGGTAGCTTTCTTAATGTTTTTCTATATGTAATCTTCAGAGACTTTGTCTGTTTTATTCACCACAATTTTTCACTTATTATAGGGTAGACTCTCTTTTATGTCAATATGTTATTTTTCTCTGTGTTGTTCCTGATGCCAGTATAACATCCTTTGTACAGTAGTGTCACTGGGGAACTAATCCTCATCATTCAACATCTAGGCTGTTTCTTACATTTGTTATTTAGTCATACTACTGGATGACTGGAAAAATAGTACTATGTGAAATTACATTATATTGAATATTGGAATCATATTCTTTAGAAGGGAATATAATGAAGTACATTTTGAAGGAGTTGAGTTTGAATTAACGACAAAGCATCCACTTCCAAATGTCTTGAAATCTCTTGGAAATCTGAATTTGGAAGTTTCAATTTGGATTTTGGGGAATTAACCTTGTGGTTTCAAATAGGAAAAGGAGTATATCAAGGCTATATATTGTCACCCTGCTTATTTAACTTATATGCAGAGTACATTATGAGAAACACTGGGCTGGAAGAAGCACGAGGTGGAAACAGGACTGCTGGGAGAAATATCAATAATCTCAGATATGCAGATGACCACCCTTATGGCAGAAAGTGAAGATGAACTAAAAAGCCTCTTGATGAAAGTGAAAGAGGAGAGTGAAAAAGTTGGCTTAAAGCTCAACATTCAGAAAACTAAGATCATGGCATCTGGTCCCATCACTTCATGGCAAATAGATGGGGAGACAGTGGAAATAGTGTCAGACTTTATTTTTTGGGGCTCCAAAATCACTGTAGATGGTGATTGCAGTCGTGAAATTAAAAGACACTTACTCCTTGGAAGGAAAGTTATGACCAACCTAGATAGCATATTAAAAAGCAGAGACATTACTTTGCCAACAAAAGTCAGTCTGGTCAAGGCTATGGTTTTTCCAGTGGCCATGTATGGATGTGACAGTTGGACTGTGAGGAAAGCTGAGTGCTGAAGAATTGATGCTTTTGAACTGTGGTGTTGGAGAAGACTCTTGAGAGTCCCTTGGGCTGCAAGGAGATCCAACCAGTCCATCCTAAAGGAGATCAGTCCTGGGTATTCATTGGAAGGACTGATGCTGAAGCTGAAACTCTAGTACTTTGACCACCTCATGTGAAGAGTTGATTAATTGGAAAAGACCCTGATGCTGGGAGGGGTTGGGGGCAGGAGGAGAAGGGGACAATAGAGGATGAGATGGTTGGATGGCATTACCGACTCAATGGACATGGGTTTGATTAGACTCTGGGAGTTGGTGATGGACAGGGAGGCCTGGCGTGCCGTGATTCATGGGGTCTCAAAGAGTCAGACATGACTGAGCGACTGAACTGAACTGAAATGAACTGAACTGAAATGAACTGAACCTTGTGGTGAGGGCTGAAATTTAAGATACTTGAGTTCCCTGAGCAATAATGCAAAGGGGAACAAGCTACCAAATTTTGGAAAATGAAAGCTTGAATATATTATGAGGTCAAACAAATATATTAATGTGGTGCTGTTACACCCCACTGTGGTAAAAAGTCACAAAACAAAGCAAAAACATTGCCCTGTCTGTACAGCATGAAAAAGGACTGCCTATTACATGGCATCCGGTCCTATCATTTCATGGCAAATAGATGGGGATAATGAGGAAACAGTGCCAGATTTTTCTGGCCTCCAAAATCAACGTGGACACAAAATGAAAAGATACTTGCTCCTTGGAAGAATAGCTAATGACAAACCTGGAAAGTGTATTAAAAAGCAGAGACATCACTTTGCCGACAAAGATCTGTGTGGTCAAAGCTCTGGTTCTTCCAGTAGTCATGTATGGATGTGAGAGTTGGATCATAAAGAAGGCTGAAAATTGAAGAATTGATGCTTTCGAACTGTGGTGTTGGAGAAGAGTCTTGAGAGTCCCTTGGAAATTAAGGATATCAAACCAGTCAATCCTAAAGAAATCAAATGTGAATATTCATTTGATGGACTGATGCTGAAGCTGAAGCTCCAATATTTTGGCCACCTGATGTGAAGAGCTGACACTTGTGAAAGACCCTGATGCTGCAAAAAATTGAAGGCGGGAGGAGAAGGGGATGACAGAGGATAAGATGTTTGGATGGCATCACTGACTCAATGGACATGAGTTTGACCTAACTCAGGGAGATTGTGATGGACAGAGAAGCCTGGTATGCTGCAGGTCATGGAGTTGCAAAGAGTTGGACACAACTTAGTGACCAAACTAACAATAACAACTTAAAACTAAAGGTTGTATCTTATCTGCCTATACATCAGTAGTATTTTTGTTGATAAAATAAAATATACATTTTATGAAATGTTATATGTCTCATTTGAAAAAGTTTTGTGTGTATTGATTTTTTTTTGTTACGTTTTGTTTGCTTTTCATTTTTGTTTTGAAACTAAAGAAAAATCTTGCAAAGTTTGCCCACATTATTTCCTTTCTAAATATTGAGGTAGCAACATTTTTAAGAATTTCAATGCAATGCTTTGTGTATTTAAAACTACATCAATTAAGAAATGCAAGTTGAACTACACATATATGTCTACTTCCTTGGTCTATTACTCAAAACTGTATAACTCTAATTGTTGAGAAACTAAAATTCACTTGTGAGATTCAAGAGGTTAGTTACTTCAGTATAAAGCCACAAAAAGATGAGACACTGTATCACTTCAGCGAACATGGAACTGTAAGTATTTCTATCATTGTCATCAGATGAAAGGTTTCCCAAAGTTTCTAGGTTCCTCAGATATGGAAGGAAATTTTTTTGTAAATTTCTCTGGTGTTAACCAAACTGTGGTGTCAGGAAATTCTTCGTTCATCTGATCTGAACTTCCTTGATTCAGTTTGAATTATTATTTAGATCTAAGAAAGGGCTTCCCAGGTGGCTCAGTGGGTAAAGAATCTGCCTGCAATGCAGGAGACGCAGGAGATGTGGGTTCAATTCCTGGGTTGGAAAGAGTCCCTGGAGGAGGAAATGGCAAAGCACTCCAGTGTTCTTGCCTGGAGAATCCCATGGACAGAGGAGCCTGGTGGGCTACAGTCCATAGAGTCGCAAAGAGTTGGATACAACTGAAGCGACTGAACACGCTGGCACAGAGCTGAGAAAATCTCATGGAAGCTGTTTATTTCCTCACCTATTCCTGCACACACTCACACAGACACACATGCCTCAAATTAACATGTCTCAGATTATCCTGCATTTTGTTATTTTATACATTATAACTTTTGTTTTTGTTAATAATCCTTTTAATAATATCGCAGTCCCTGTGAGAACTGGAAGAATTATCCGCACAATATAGAAGTGCACAATATTCAGAAATGTGCCTTGAAATCCAGAACATTCTTGGCAGAAGATGCGTGCCACAGCCGAAGCGTAGATGCCATCAGGCACCACTTTGCAAGCACCAGAGACACATTAGTCTTTCAGTTGACAAGTTTGATGCCTTTTTACATATTAAGTGAACTTTACTTTGCATTATAAATGGTGGAGGTCCAGAAATAATTTTTATGCAAGTCATGGCAATCTTTATCTACACAAGACACACTCCTGTAAAATTAAAGTTCTGCTCAAACAACTTTTGAGTGATTATTCACAAGAGAAAAGAGTTCTTACTTTAGAATTAACTAGACTGGTCCATTCAGTAACTGCTTTGGCTAAGAAAATTCATCTTCTTTATATTTGCCAGTATTATTTGTCTTTCAAAGATAAACAGAGAGAAAGAGAGGAAGGGAGGGAGAGAAGGAGAGAAACAGACACATTTTATAAAGAACTCGATGAAAGCTTTAATAATCTCTGCAATCAGAGAGACAGCATTTGGCAAGCACCTACTATGTTGCAGTGGGCCATGCACTTTGTAAAGGATTTTTTGATTGATTTTTTCCAATAATTCAAGGTAGCTTTATACTGTATCCATTTAAGAAATATAATTTTACAGTTTGAAAGCCAATAGATGATTTTGATATTAACTGTTTGGTACCTGTTTTTGCTGAAGAAAGTCTCCGCGTACACATGAGTACATTATCTACTTTCCAAATTAGATGTCTCCCTATGGCTTATGATTTCCTGCATTTTCCAGTAGCCCTAGGAGGTAGGAAATGAGGCAGCCAGAATTTGTGCTGCTGTACTGAAAATGGTAAAGGAGAAAAAGCAAGGATGTGTTAGGTGGCTTTCCTAAATTCTCATAAATAGAATGAAGTTACTGAAAATTGAATTTAGGTCTCCTAACTTGCTTTTCTTTTTTTTTTTTTAATGTATCGCTGAGCACTAAAGATACTTCTACAAATTAAGTACAAAAAGTCTAGGTTAATGGGTTCAGGGAGATAAATTTTGAAATTATTCTTTTTTGTGTTTGAATCTCAGTATGTTTTAAGTATAGTTTTTTTGTTTATTTAATTGATAATATTTCTGTTAGTATTCTCTGTACTGCTTTTGAAATACGATAAAGATGATATATGAATTTTACTCTGCTAACTGACTTTATTGTCCAGTCTTAATCATTCCAAACAGACCAATGTAATCTATATTAATATTAATGCTGTGCTGAAGTGATTTTTGTAAAAGACTCTATATGGAGAAATCAGATGTGATTCAAGAATAATTATTGGCTATTTGTGTTTTTTTACAGTCACAGTATGGAGCTTCAGTTTCTGCTAAGCCCGAACTCCCCCTCTTTTATACTCCCATTGATCTGGTGGACATTAGTGTGGAAATGGCTGGGTTGAAGTTTACAAATCCTTTTGGTCTTGCCAGTGCAACTCCAACTACCAGTTCATCAATGATTCGAAGAGCTTTTGAAGCTGGATGGGCCTTTGCTCTGACCAAAACTTTCTCTCTTGATAAGGTAAGAAATTATTTTTGAAGTTGTGTTTAAATATCTATCATTTATTTTAATTAGGGCATAAATATTATAATGCAAAGGTTCACCAAGCTATAACAGTTATTAAACTATTGGGTAAGACTGATTATTACAAATGAGCTAATTTCATTACATTTCTTCTGTCCCAAGATGGGGAATGGGATCGATTTTTATTTCTCATTTGTCTGTGTGTGTGTTAGTCACTCAGTCATGTCTGACTCTTTGGGACGCATGGACTATAGCCCGCCAGGCTCCTCTGTCCTATGGAATTCTCCAGGCAAGATGCTGGAGTGGGTAGCCATTCCCTTCTCTAAGGGATCTTCCTGACCCCGGGATCAAACCCCAGTCTCCTGCATTGCAGGCAGACTCTTTATCCTGAACCACCAGGGAATCACTGTGTTTTGTCTAAGTATCAAAAATGTAAATACTACAAAATGTCTATTTCATTTAATAATTGAAAACTCACTAACTCTTATTTTAGCATTATTGTTTTGTGATTTCTGGATGTGTGTGAATGAGAATATGTGCCTCAACTCAAAGTTAGACAATGAATTTGATTTGCACATAATCCTGGAAACCAGTTCATGTAAAAATGAATCACTCAGTATAACTTAACTGGTGCCTGTAATAAGATTTTTCTTGAATTTTTAAATACAGAAATGTTTCCCCAAATGCATTGACCTGAGTTCGATTTGACATTATGACTGTGTACTCACAGAGCAAGTGGACATACTTAGTAGAAAATTAACTACATATTAAAGTTAAGATTGAGTCTTTAAAATACAGAAAGTATATAAGTGAACATTTTAAAAGTAGGATAATTTATGCAATAATGGGTTGCATCCTCATATGGCTTTGAATTAGAAAAGATCAGCAAAATTTAACATTTTTAGATCTTTTATTGATAAAATTTTAGATGATACACCTATTGGTATATTTAATACTTACTGGTAGTTAGTAATAATTAATGAATAAGAATGTGTGAATCTAGTGACTGAGAAAAGACTATTATTATTTAAATCAGCCTTATCCTTAGGCAAAGAAACTAATAGAGAACAAAAATGCCCCATTAAGCACATTCTCTTCTTTCTCCTCTTACTAGGATCAATAGCTGGCATTATTATGGCTAAAACATCTTGGCTGTCTCATTCTGACAGCTTCACAAGATGCTATGTATAAATGTGATCACAATTATCTAGAAATCCTCAAAAGTTAGAAACCTAGTGCATGAAAAAAAAATTACCTAAATATTTTTATATTTAAATAGCTAAAGGAATTTTTTTTAATAAATTGGCTGAATTCTCAGAAATTCTTTGGTTAAATAAAGTGTAAAGATAAACAACATACTGAATTTAGCTTCAGAATATCCTTGATCAGTTGTTTACAGCTTTGTAGACTATTGACATTATATTTGTTTGTATTTCAATTCTTCCTTTAAGAATTACTCAGAAGCTCTAATCTGATGTTTAATCCATTGAGAAGAACTGAATCTCTGATACCATTTAATGAGTAGTTATGCTATTGAAAAAATTTTATATGTAAACAAAAATGGGTGGCTAAACAGGAATAAGTGGAGAATTGTAGGAAAAAGAATATTTGCTTCAAATTTGCTTACAAAAATTGAATTCTGATTAATCAGAGACATTTGTCTTTACTCTGCTGGTGACATGCATTTGATTTGTGAAGCTGTCTCTTTCAATAACCTAAGAGTAGTTGCCTTCATTAGGATCACCAGCAGAAATGAATGTGGGAGCTAACTTCCTTCTAGACCTCCAATTTGAATTTAATCTATCAATTCAGAAGTCTGTGATGATGTTTCAAAAGGAGAGTTATGGACAAATGCAAATTAAATTTGGCACATAAAACATAATGATAGGGAGTTTTAGGAAGCTTTATTTTACTTACTTTGATGATGGGTACAACAAAATATTTGTTCAAAAACTTTTAAATTCACTCATGCAGATTGTAGTGACATAAATAAGGATGCCACCTTGGGCTTATGTAAGCCTATTTTAAAAAATGATTACTTCCCATACATGATTTTGCAACATAGTTTGTATCATGAAGATCTACTTTTTGTTTTCTTATATTGTCTCTATTTAATGATTAAATATGTTTTGAATATATTACTGTCCTATGATTTCTGTGCTTTCTTATTGGTGAAATTTTGTAGTATACAACTCGTGTTTTTTATAGCCTCTTACTAAAGACATCTATTCATGTATTATATGTACTACACATTTGTGTGACATTATAGCATAGCAATTTAGATTATCCCCATTATAATTTAGTATGCAATTTCAAGAGTCTACTTAAAATGTATTAAAATTCAGAGTCCTGACATTTGAAATTTGGATGCTCTTAATATGACAAAGGTTATTCTATGGAGTTTTGTTATCATATGAAATATTAATATTTCACAATGCAGTTTTGATGAAGTACAATTTGCCAAGCTTGCATATGATAAAGAAATTAAATGCTTACCAAGGGAGTTCAGTAAAAATTAGAGCCCTGTCTGAACATCTGCTGGAAATTGTATTATCCTGTCCTACTGACAGTGTGGGTCCCTCTTTATTTTTCTAGATTGACAGCTGAATATTACACTGATTTCTCTAGCAAGCATGTTTAGATGAACTTTGTTTCCCCCTTTTTTTTTAATTTTTGGAGCGTTTGAAGCATGCTTTGATTTTCATCCTATATATGTATATGCATATATATATATGTGTACACATATATATATATATGTGTGTACTCTTGACATTTGTAGATGCCAGATTGAGGTCTAATATGCTGTAGCAATGATAGACCATTGACTTACAGTGAAATGCCAGTTGATATCTCAGTAAACAGAAATATTATTATTCTTTACTGTGCAGTCTGTATGGAAGCTGTATGTGCTTTCTTTAGAGAGGCAAATGATCAATCTTTTAAAGTTAAATATATATAAAAAAGACCTGTGTTTCCTTTTGTGTTAAATAACATAAAAGTTTTCTTTTATTAAGTATATTCTTCCTTCCCAAATCAGACTTGCTTAGAGTGTCCCCAAATACCTAGATTGCTTTTCTTGAAGTCCTGTTTATAAATACAATATTTGAAATATCACTATAAAATGATATTTAAAATATAAATATAATGATAAAATTTAAATATAAATATATACTGAGTTCAAGTTTAAAAAGATAGGAAAGAAATCAATTAGTCAAGCTTAATTAAAGCTAAACTCTCACGACAAACTGATGTAATGCTCTGTTTAACTGGGAATATTAGATATTGTTAATATTCATATAAAATAACCCCCTTGCCTGTGTTTGCATTATACTGATAGAAAATAGATACATGCTTCGGTTTTGTTAATTTTGTTTTATTTATTTCTTTTAGAGCAACATACTATATACTCAAATATATAATATCCAACTGCAGGGTGTATATATCTTCATCACCACACAGATAAACTCGGAAAGGTTTACCACTATCCTAAATCAAATTCAAACCTAAGCAGAAGTTCTATTCATTTAAAAACTATGTGTATATATATATACACACACACACACACACACACTTATATATATATATGTATATATATATTACAGTACACTTGTGATTGATTTTTTAATATCTTGAATGCATATATTTTATTAACTATCAAATAATCAGGTAAATAGATATACAAATAATGAGTTTCTCTCAACATAAAATACTGAAAACTAAAATCTGAGAAATATTTAATGTTCTTCATTATTTCTTTGGCATCAAAGTATATTGATTGTAACTGTTGCCATAAAATAGTCTTATACCACAGGGCACAATGCTTAATGTATAGGAAGAGTTTGATAAATGTTTCATAAATATTCTTTGGATAAATGAATTAGTAAATGAATATATAGATTTCTTGGCAACAGCATATTGAGCTTATTATTTTTTTCTAGCCATATGAACAGATAGTTAACACAAAAAAATTGATTGTTCTGAGTATTGATCTCAATCAAAGGAGAAAAGGCCTATTTAAAATTTTCATATCCTAGGTTGTTTTTATAGTATATGTTTATATGTCTAAAAATGAAAATGTCAGTGGAATTTCTAAATGCATAGATTACATATTAAGTTTTAGGTTATTGACTAAGCTTTTTAAAATGCAGAGAATTTTTGAGAAAACAGTGTAAGTATCTCAGAGTATCAGCAAGGGAAATAAAAATCACCTGGCTGAATTATCTAAGCTCATGTGTCAAGACCTCTGACAGAAAAAAACGTAGCCTGTTCTTGAATACTTTTAGTGACAGAACACGCTAGATCTTTAAAGCAATGCAGCCAGCTATAGCTAGCTATAGAAAGAAACTAGTTTAGAAATATATTCCATTTTTTGTCCCCAAACCAACCTTCTCACAAGTTGCATCCATGTTTTATAGTTCTGCCCTCGGAGACATCATGACTCTAACTTATTAATATAAATGAATTGTTGATTTTAAAATGTTTTCTTTTCTTCTTCCAAGTAAATAAATACCCTAGAGAAAGGCTAACAAGTATGGAAATGTAGTGCCATCTAGGAAAAAGAAATTTGACCTGGGCAAGTCCAGTCTCTATTCAAGTTTGCTTCTGTATCACTATCTTGAACTTATTGTTTGAAATTGGAGGTTGTTGTTATGATTATTATTTTTATACATATTGCTAACTACCATCTATTGAGTACTTAGAATGTATGGACATGGACATTGCCAAATACTGTTTATAAATTATTCATTGAATCTTCATAATATCCCTATAAGATAGATAGTAAATTTTTTTAGATGAAATACAGTTGGACCCTTGAACACCATGGGTGGTAGGAGCATGGACCCCCTACAAAGTTGAAAATCTGCTTATAACTTTATAGTTCAACCCTCTGTTATTTGTGGTTCCACATTTGCAGATTGGACCAACCATAGGCCCATATAGTACTATAGTACTTAATTATTGAAAAAAAAAATTCTGCAAAGAAGTGGACTGTGTAG